CATTTACAGATGGGCGTAAATATTTTCTACAACTATTTCTAATACCCACATCGTAGGGATGATGGTTAAGAAAAAAGAAAAGAAAGAAAGATATGGATTTACTTTTACAGTTATAATGTGTGAAGATTTGAGACAGCATAAATTACTCTTCATATTGATATTGGATTGAAATTCAGTCAAAATAAGGTTAAACACCACTATTGGAACTGACTAACAGATAATGTATTAAAAAGGATGTATCGATTGATGCCTTCAAGATAGGATTCAGTGAAAATCTCAATAGCTGTATTCCTTGTGTGTTTTATTGCTTTAAGTGTGTTTTATCTGTGGCAGGGTTTGGGCCCCGTTTGTGGCCTGTCAAGATAATGTTCAAGGCCTCCTTATGTGATAATTTGGTATTGCATAATTCAGGACATGACCTGGCTGTTGGCAAGCCTGTTTTCTTGATCAATATCTCGACAGTTTCAGATTTGTGCAATTTGCAAGAGCTTTGCACACACAAAGAACACAAGGAAATTGAATATGTTGCGCAGACTGAGGTATTGCACACCAGATGCAAAATTTGATATTCCAATAACATGCCCCATAAGCGTGCGCTTGAATTCCCAGACGTTCCCTAACGCGCTGGAGGTGACCCTTTCTGCTGACAAGCTAAATGATGAATAATGAGCGTGCACCTTGAAAGACCAAGAGAAGACACACACACACACACTCGCACACACACACACTCATGCAAACACAAGCAGGCGAAATGCGAAGGCTTCTGCTGTTCCGGGTTTATTGCTGTCATTAATGTCTGCATCCGTTTGTGTGTGTGTGTGTGCATGTGTGTGTGTGCGCGCACGCGTACAGCAAGCGCTCCTGCCTCCCCCAGAGAGATGACAAGTCTGAAGGAACGCAAGATAGACTATGATTCCACGGCAACCAACGCTGGTTTCCATAGCAACAAAGGAGAGCATGCATCCCGGAAAGACGGCATGGCAGGTGCGTGTGCACGTGTAGAGAGAGAGAGACAAAGTAGAATTAAATTATTTTATTTTAATCGCCTGATTTCATCTTTTTATTCAATTTCCCGTTTCACCTATCAGTTATATTCCCCTTTTTTTTTTTTACATTTATATTTTTACTTATTGCGTTCTTCAATCTTGAACACACTTTGCTTCGTCCCTACACCTATGAATTAGTTCTGCCCTCGCCTTCCAACCAGCTGCTGCTATCACTAATACTCCCCTCTTCTCCATTTACTTTTTTTCCTCTTCTGTGATTACCATTCTCTGTTAAGCCTCTTATGTTTCACCTTTAATTTGTACTTCCAATATCTCTGTTATTCTGCTGGGGTTTTTATATATATATATAATGCCAGACTTTTAAATAAGCTGCTTGAAGTATTTTTGCCTTACTTGTTTGTAATTAGTTTATGCAACAACAGAGTTTTTATTTTTTTTATTTTATTTTATTTATTTATTTTTGCTTAAAAACAAAAAAAGAAAGAAAGACATGAATGGTTAGCAGTGGTGATGGTAGATGTAAATTAACAAGTGTGTGTGTCTGTGTGTGTTTTTTTTAATTATCCATAAAGTTCAAGTGTCCTGCGGGTCGTCTACGTTGTTCCGAAACTCTTACCTGACTGCCAGCGATGAAATCAAGCAAAACCAGGTGAGTGCACAGTTTTATTTACATCCACAGTTTTTCAGTCTTTGAGAAATGCACGTATTTCATCACAGCTCTCCTAAACTGGCAAACGCTGTCATAATAAGGTGCTTATTAGGAAAGATTACAGCAGAATGGAGGAGGCACAGCAGATCAAAATAAAAAGGTGTCTCGCTGTGATAAGAGATGCCCTGGCAGAGTTTGCAACGGATGTTCACCCTCAGCTCAGGCGTTCTTAAACCACCGCAACTAGGAACAATACCCGACTGGCAATTAAAGCTGTTATCCCGTTTGATTGCACTAATTATTTGCCTCCGTTTAATGTCTCTCCTCGGTGAGGAGGGAGGGATAACAGAAAGCATCTCCGTCTTTGAATTGGGAGAATTACAAGTAAAAGAAAATAAATAAATAAAATTGGGTTGGATCTCTTAAAATTCTAATTAAAGTTTGAGTTCGCTCAACTTTCACCGCTACCGGTTGAGCTGAAGTGAATAAGCGTAATGAGCTTTTGAAGCGATAGGGGTTTTTTTTACGCAACACCGACACGCACAAACATAGCTTGCCCGTGTGAGAGTCGGTGTTGGATGTAAATTGCCCCATCACTGCCTGCCTGTAATCGAGAATTCACAGCATGAGTTCTTGTCCCTCTTCTGCCTGCTTTTTAAACCCTCATTCCTTTGTTTTTCCTTTCCACCCGACCCCCTGCTTTCCGTTTTGCTTTACTTCTCTCCTGGTTTTCACTTTGCTCCCAACTACTTGGACTCCCGCGACTCTGTCCGCGCCCTCTGCACTTACCCCACTTGCCACGTCCAAACCTCTTCGCCCCACCAGAGTCCAGCCCCGCCCTGCGTTGTGCCCCCTCAGCCCCAGCAGGACAGCCCGTCAGCAACCATGCTAAAAGACTATGACCTCTACCCCCCTCCTCCGTCCTTCCCCCAGCCGCAGCCGCCGCAGCCTCCACCTCACAGCCAGAGTCGGAGCTTCGACGAGGCCTACTACGACGACCCGGGACCGCCGCCTGCACCGCCGCAGCTGCAGGCGCAGGCCCAGCCTCAGGCCCAACCCCAGCCGCCTCCAAACGCCACCGGACCACCGCGAGACCCCCGGGAGGACCTTCGAATGCACCTGGGCCTCAAGTCGACGGGCAACTACGTAGACTTCTACTCAGCCTCACGGCCGTACAGCGAACTGAACTACGAGACGAGCCACTACCCGGCTTCGCCTGATTCCTGGGTGTAGTTTGACCGTGACGATGGGAGGGAGGGGGCAAGAGACGGTCTGTGTGTGCTTGTGTGACAGGGATTATTTTTTTTGCAGGAGATTATTGGCAGACTACAACAAGGTTAATCTAAGTGGCAGTTTGTAAAAGGGAAAAAAAAGTAAGACCTTAAAATATAATAGGAAATTTGTGTTTTTAAAAAAATAGCTGTGAATGAATTCGACGGAGCAAGAAGGGAAATCAATCAGTGACAAAGAGAAACTGTGCATGTGCATGCCAACATTTTTTATTATTATTATTTTTATTTTTTCTAGACCACCTTACCTTTTTTAAACTTAGCTCCATTTCATCCCAAATTGGAGTAAGCGGGAGTTGATATGAAGAAGTACAGCGTGTATAAGAAGTGGGGGGTGGGGGGGAACGTGGGAGTCTATGTAAATGCCTTGAGTGGAGGGATCAAGAAATAATAGGGTGCTGATGAGGAAAGGCTCTCATTCTGTGGAAGCAGGAAGTGGTCTGACCTTCTGTCGCCGTCGGAGATAAAGAGAGATGAGAGACCGAGATGGCATGAGCGTTTTCAAGGAGGTGAGAAAGAATAAAAGCACAGAGAAAGATGAAAGCACACCAGCCTCAAGGGAAGAAGTGGATGTTTACCATTTCACCAAAGTGACAAACGTAGCACTGCTTTTATTCAATATATATATTTTTTTTTTTTTTTTTGGCAAAACCTTGCTGCGTGTAGAGTCTTTGGAATTTGTTTTCAAAGAATGTCATTTCCAAGAGACTTTTGGTCATTTTTGTTTTTATTTTACATTTGTTGTTTTTCTTTCTACTTTTTTTATATTTACACTTTCGGACACATTCTTATTTCCTTCGTACGCCTAAAAATGGGATTTAATGTGTATATTACACATTTTGGATGGACTGCTCACAAAAATCCAGATTTTTATTTTCCAACTGAAACAACAAGCAAATTAAAAAAAAGAAAAAAAAAGAAACACACGAACACTGCAATCAGGAAAGACGGGCTAGCTGTGAGTGGACAAATGATTTTTTATTTTTTTTTTTATTATTCCCTCATTTTATCCCGGGCCTGAGAGGAATCCCTGCGATGTTTGTGATTTTGCTCACTCCATCAATTGCAATTTCTCAAGTGGACACAATCAAACGTCAAGAGCAACTTAAAGGCTGCAAGAGCATGGAACTGGCAGAGCAGCGGCACTCGGAGTCCCAATCAAGAAAAGTGCTTTTTTTGTTCACTGCCAAAAGAGTATATAGATGTATGTTTAAAGCACACTCTTATGTCTTTGGAAAGGACTGCTGTTTGACTTTGGGTGGGGCGGGGGGTAATTCTTTCGACAGTGTTAAAATTCAGTAATTCCTTTGGCATCAAAACACGTCCGATTGGCCAAATCCACTTGCTCATGTCAGTGTACAGTAGAAGTAAAGAAAAGGAGACACATCACATTGTGCCAAACTTTGACAGACCAAGCTCCTAGAAGACTTCACGGGGAGTTTTGTCGAGGTTTACAGACATTAACTCGGTGGCTGTCTCTTCTGTTTGTAACTTTGATTTTCTTGTGCTTTAATCAGGTGAAGCCGTACTTATTGCTGGGGGATTTGTGGGCACCTCCTCCCTCCCGTAGTTGTACAGATCTGCCTCTCCGTTCTGGCCGAGCATGTGTGGGCGTGCGTTTGGGACACGTGTGTGTTTACGTATACGTGCATGTGTGTGACTAAGAATGCGTGGCCCCCGTTGAGTGTGCTCATGTGCACCATGAGCGAGTGTATCTATGCATGCATGTGTGTAGTAGTGTGCGTATGCCTCCGTTTGGCGGGGTGTATGTGTGTGAGCGTTCCTGTGAAAAAAAGATCAATGTCCAAACAAGGCATTCCTACTGACAGTTTGTCCAGTTTTACAGCATAAAAATAAAGGTACAAAAAAAAAAAAAAACAGAAAAAAAATCACTAGAGTGATTGTTGAGACAGCAGACAAATCTATAAATACATGAACATAAATATAAATATATAATTATATAGATATATAATTTTTATGTGCTGATGTCGATGTCACTAATTGCAACAAATGTTCGCCGAAAAAAAAAAATTATGTTGTGTAAAACAGGACTCTTGTTCACTTGATCCAAACCGTAAAAATGCTGATAAGCCGCCCCCCCCACCACCACACCCTCCACCGTATACACACACACACACGCATACACACACATGCACCTCTACAGTCTAATCGAGACAAAACAGAAGTTCCACCTGAAGATGCGCTGGCTCGAGTTGTGTGTTATCGTGTGTCCATGCTTCTTTAGATGATCCTGCTGAGTGAGGACCGTACTTGAAACAGAAGGGGAAGAAGAAAAAAAAAAGAAATAAAAGACTCTTTTCAAAAACTATAGTCTCTGCTTCTCTCAATCTCTACAACAAATTTCCTTTTCACCGAGTTGTCTTCTTTGTTCCCTTACATTACTCACGGTAGGAACCGTTTTCCCACACGCTTGTTTTGTTGACTGATCTAAAATGCTTTGATGTGCTTTATAATCCACACTTTTTTGCGTCTCTCTTGGGAATCAAGTGTGTTAAAAGATCTAACAGACGTAAAAAAAAAAAAATAAAATAAAATATTGAAACTTTTTCCCACACTAGCTTCATTTATATTCAATCCTTTATAAGAAAAAAAAAAACTTGTCAGTTTCTCTAAATGCTGAGAAGCTATTTACTGTGCCAAAGAGCAAGACTGTCTAAAGAGGTAGATCTGTGATACAATTATTAGGCTCTACTGGGAAAATGTTAAACTCTAAATGACTAGTTTGAGTCACTTTAAGGACTTATGAGCTGCTCTTTTTGCCAAAAGCCTCAGAAAGTTATTTTGATCCTAGCATAGTGTTGACTCACTTCAAGTCAGAAGAACACCAAACTAAATTTCCGATGTTTAAACATCATTATGTCCAGTCATGTTGGAAAACACCCATGCTTTCATTGAATGTCTTTTTCACCTTTGTAAATGATTTGTAGTTGTGTACATCTTTCTTTCAAGTGGAACGCCCCTTTGCCAGTAGGTTATGACGGATTTTGTGAATAACCAAACAGTGACATTATATTTAGTCTTGATTCTCCACTGCATATGTGTACACATCTGATTTTTTTTTTTTTTTTTTTTTTCTCACTGGTGAAATTCATATCAATCCAAGTTTTAGAAACATCAGGACTGTCTGATAAAGGATCAGAACATACTTTTTGGACGCTGCATAAAGAATTAGATGTGCATAAGCATTTTTATTTTTTTTTTCGAATCACATTTTAGCTTTAAGAGGATGAATGAACTTTAAAACTATTCTATCATGGAGTCGATCATAATAGCTTTTACACAAGCAGACAATTTGTTAGCATTGTCTTTGTGAAACAGCAGTGCTGACATATTAATATAATTTTTCCTACAAAAAATAAAATTCCTAGGGTCTTAAATGACATGTTGTATTAGAAGGCTTTGTATAATAGGCATGCTAACACTCCTGCTCATAATGATGCCTTTCAGATACCCTATAGTTAATGTAGTTACCCAGCGCAGACATGATGGGCACGACACGCAATTTTATATTTTCTTTGAAGCAACCCCAAGTGACAGCAGTGGGATGCAGTTAGAGCAGTCTCCATAACAGATGCACAGAGATGCAAAGGCTTTTACACACGCGCACACACACACCAGTCATTTTCACAGTATTGTCTGGAATTGGTTTAAAGATTCAGTAATGGAAATTCCCATTTTCCCAATCATGTTCATTTTTATTTTTTTATTTTTTGCTTTTCCCTTATAGGTTGGGTCCCATTTATCCAGATATCCATTTGGATCGAGTTAAATTTCAAGCAAATAAAATGAATGGATTTGTACTGAAGACAGTCACATTTGTTACAATCCATTGGTATTCATGTCTGAGCCTCCTCCTCCTTCTCTCGCCTTCCTTTCTTTGAGGCTGTCTAGCTTGGCCTGTGAATTGCGGTGTTGGGTAATAAGTCCATTGCGTTGATTATTAGCCTTTACAATAGAGGCACGGCTTCTCTGCCTGAATGTAGTCCCACAGTGAAAGCCTGGCATAACTTAATGTAGCGTGAAAATAGCTCTTCAATTTTCCTGTGCACAGCCTTTCTAGAAACTGCTCTGTTTCACCCCGCGGATGCCTCCGGCCTTCTCTGTTTCATTCTGTCTTTGCCAGTGTTCCCTCTCGACTCTCATTGCACCCGTGCCCATTAAGTCATGGCAAAACTCCAGCTATGTGGCTGCTGGTGTGTGTATATGTGTGTGTGCATGTCTACCCATGCACATTCATGCAGCTGCATGTCAGCAAAGAGTCGGAGAGGATTGGATTGAAGGGGGAGGTCAGACAAAGTGAGATGTAAGAGGAAAAGGAGAAGACAGAGTGGCAGGGTGGGGGGGGGGTTGTAATTTATATGATGAAAGTTTTTGTGAGAAATTGTCTGTACTTACGGAGATGTGAAGCAACCAGGTCTACTGTGTGTTATAGATAGAACTTCCCATTTCCCAGCTCTTTTAGTCTGAGCTCAAGAGATGTTTAAATGTCAGGTCTAGTAGTCAAAAGACTTTTTGAAAATAAAGTACCAAGCACAAGTATCTTTGAATTTTTTTTTTTAGATTTTCCAAAGAAAAGCCGTTCAGAGGAATTTTATTCCTTTAGAGTGACACAGTGGTGCTACACAACTGTGAAGTTTACTGAAAATGTCACATGGTTTATATATCCATTTTCTATACCTGCTTGTCCAGGCAGGGTGACGAGGGTAAGCTGGTGCACATCTCCAGTGGTCATTGGCCAAGGAAAGGGGTACACACTGCACAGGTCACCTGTCCATCATACTTCTCCTCCAATTTTTCCTCATCCCTAAGGAAAAATTGGAGACATCTCTTAAACTAAAAATCATGTGTTTGGACTGTGGGAGGAAGGAGGAGTAGATGGAGAAAATCCTGTCCGTCACCAAAACAAACCAGAAGTGGCTTAAGAGTCGATCCTTAATGCAGCAACACCTCCGGCTTGAATTCCTCTGCAGCTCATACAGCACACCTCACTGCTGCCTCACAGGTCCTCCATCTCTCTGACATAATTATCTTCCACACCAGACCTTCTTTCTTATGCAATACCACATCGGCTCTCTCGTAACCCTATCGTGCGCGTTCTCTAAATCTACAAAAGCACAATGTTCTCTTTTCTGTACGTCTCCATCAGCGCCCTTTAAGTAAAAGTTAGCATCTGTCTTAGTCTTTCTCGGCATGAAGCCACACTCCTGCTCATAAACTTCTGATCTAAGCCTATAGCTTCCACCACTCTTTCCCACAGCTTTGTTCACTTATTAGCTTTATTCCTCTGTAGCTGCTACAGTTCTGTACATCTCTCCCG